GAAGCATCTTCTGAGTTCAAACACAGGCATGGAGCACAATGTTTACACCTGAACAGTATCAGGATGTTTTAACTCACAGAGGCCTGCAGGTCTTCTGTTTTATGAGCAAACCGCTGAGAATCCGCTAAACGTTCTTTTGCCGCTTTCGTGCGGAGTGGTTGAGAAACACATTTCAAACACGGAACCGAGTCTCGCTATGGAACTGAGTAGAATCCTGATGATGTCACACCGGAGCGGGTTCCAACCCACAGGAGAGGAGGGAGAGAGGAGGTGAACAGCGAGTGGATCACAGGGACTGAACAGATGTTTTTGAGCAAATATGTACCCCCACACGGTTTAGACTCGGTGCTCATGCAGGTGTCTCTTTCTGTTCCGACGCTGCTACACACTGTTTTTAATTTATTAAGCCTACAATTTATTTTTACTCAGTAAAGGATATGATTCAAAATGTAGTGAATTACAAATCTTTTTTAAAAACTTACTCAAGTAAAAGTACAGCTTTTAAAAACTACTTAAAGTATAAATATACAAAAAAAGCTACTTAATTACAGTAACGCGAGTGAATGTAATTTGTTACTTTCCACCTCTGAAAATAACTAAAAATCATCTAAAAAGCTTGTTTAAAACTTACATTTTGAGTCTGTTTAAGTTTCTAGGATGATTTTATCATCCTGTTGGTTTGTCGGAACAAAATTAGATTTTTATGCTAATTTAAGATAAAAATCTAATAAAATCCAACTTTTATTTATGCTGAAGTTTCAGCTTCTGGGCTAAAAGCTGCTGTAAAGAGCTCACATCCTGTGAACGCACGTGAAGAACATTAAGTACGTCATCCTGCTGAGTCAGAAACAATCGTTGTTCTGTGAGCTTTATTCATGTGAGCTAACTGGAGTCGGTCTGGCGTTAAAACAAAATGTTTCTGCGACTTTGCTGCTAGAATGAGAACTGGAGCTCCTCCCAAGGAGGTCCAGGTGTCTTGCTCCTGACCCGCTAGGACCTTCAGACCGGGATGACTGAGAAGCTGCAGATTTGAATAGAACCTCATTAGAGGAAAAATTTGTCATCATTTATTCATTTGGTCTATTTCCGGTTTTTCTCCTGAACTCCAGCTGGAATCAGAATTCTGGACCAGAACGCAGAGTTGAGACGAGCGCTGATGGGCCGAGTGGTACCGAGGACAGAGAGGAGAACCATCCACATCAACACCTTTGGTGAGAAAGCCCAGGGTTTCCACCATGAAATAATTCATGTGTTCATCTCCACCTTAACCCCCAGAGACCCAAATTTAGAAAATAACTGCAAAATCTTTTTTTAACCTTTCACATGTTGTTCTAGGAGGCCAGATAAACGGGCCTATTTACACGTTTTAACAGCCAATAGTGTTGCAGAACTGAACAATAGGACCTATTAGCAATGTAAATGTGGTTTTAAAAAGAAAAAAAAAGGGGAAGGTTTATTTTTGTAGACTTAAATCTGATGTTGTAATATTACAACCGTGGGTCTCTGGGGGTTAAAGCTGCTGGACCTCCAGAACCCTCTGATGGTTTTTTGTGTTAGTTTAGATCCTCGTTAGTTTTTCTGGTTTGTTTTTAACGGGTTTTTTTTTTTTTTGCAGCTTTCCGTTTGGAGCTGGTGGTTCCGGTCGATCTGGATGAAACAAGGGAGCACCCTCTCCTCCTGGTCCTGTGAGGAACCGGATTTGTTACGGACTTTGGTTGAAGGAGACTTTTAATTCAGTGTTCTGATTGCATCTGCAGGGACAGCACCCCCGGTGGTCAGGCGGTGAGCGACCGTTTCTCTCTCAGCTGGGAGTCAGTTCTGGTCACTTCGGACCAGGTCATCGTGGCCCGTTTAGATGGCAGAGGCAGCGGCTTCCAGGGTCAGAGGATCCTTCACGGGCTTCACCAGAGACTGGGTTCTGCTGATGTTCAGGACCAGATCGCCGCCGTCGAGTGAGTCCTGACAACCTTTGACCTTTTTAAGCAGCTTACAGAAGTGGCCTAATGCTGGAGCAGCACTGATAATCTTGTATGTGTTTCATTCAAAGCAGAAAATAGATTTAAGACTTCCTGTTTCATGTTCCAGACACCTGATCAAGCTGCCGTACGTCGACGGCAGCAGAGTCGGAGTTTATGGAAAGGTGGAACGTTTCTGTTTTCACGGAATAATCAACCAAGGAGAGGTTTTAAATAAAATAAAATCAAATAACGGCTTAGTTGTGTTTTCAGGCATATGGAGGTTTTCTGTCGATCCTTCTGCTCCTGTCTCACACTTCGGTGTTTAAATGTGGCATCGCCGTCGCTCCCATAACGAACTGGAGACTCTTTGGTGAGAAGAAACAGTTCAGGACGATTTAATAGAAACATCAGTTATTTAAGGGATTTTTCTGTGTGAAGCAGCTAAAGGTCATGGGAGGTCAAGTAACATTACATCTGAAAGCTGTAAACTCTGTTTCTGGGAACAAAGGTTGTTCAGGGCTGGTTTTACCTTATGATCAAAACGCTGATTTAATGAGTTCATCCCTAAATATGACGGAGAAGCTCATTTATGATTCCACGTGTTTTATTAACAGTCTGAGTTCTGTTTGACCTGCATGATTAATTATTAGTTTTCTCCTAAATCCTTAAAGGATCTTCCAGCTCAGAGAAATACTTTGGTTTTCCACCCAAAGGAGATCATAAGTACGAGGTAACGGAACACGTTCCGGCATCAGAACCCTAAACGGAGCAGGTTCACCACGCTTCCTTCTCCCTGCTCTCCATCAGGTCTCCAGTCTGATCGGCAGTGTCTCGGCTCCAAAAGACTTCCTGATTCTCCACGGAACGGCCGACGGTGAGTTTCACTAAAGAGTTAAACCAACAAAAGCAAATTTAAAAGTTCTGCTTCATGAAACTTGTGTTGTCATGAATAAGTTATGACAGAATTAAACTCGCTGCCCCTCGGAGAACCATTTCGGTTCAATAATTAATGATTTTTGTTGTTTTGGTCAAATAAAAAACCCATCAAAGCCAGAATGAGCTCTGAAACACAAAACATGTGAACAGTTTATTTACCTTTGTGTTTGTTGTTGATTATCTTTAACATAGTTTTAGCTAGCCCTGAACAAGCCTCCTCACACAGTAATCTATGCATTCATTTTGTGATGAACTGATGAATTATTTGGATGAAACGGTGTTTTGTTTCAGCCTCGGTTCATTTCCAGCATTCTGCAGAGCTGGTCAAGCTGCTGTCGGTGTTAAACGTTAACTACACGCTGCAGGTAACATCTGTGGTCCACCTTAAGGCTGGGGTCCGTAGTGTGATGTCATCGAGGAGAGAAGGAGGAGATGAGGTTCCAGCGGCTAAAGCTCCGCCTCTGCTCCCCCCTCCTTTGAGAATGAGCTGAAAGCCACGCCTCATACCACACACACATGAATAGTCTTGTTGGGCTGATGGACATGTTTTTGATATGTTCCTGCTCAGACACACCTCATTCTAACTGTTGACTAATCTCCTCGGCCTTCATCAGGTTCTGCAGGAGCTAATCACTCATTTTAATCTGATCTGCAGCGTTCGCGCAGGGAAGCATCTAAAATCAGCAGCAATCTGGCACTCATGATGCTAGCATGTTCCTGCTAACGCTACAACAAGCTAAAACTATAGTCTGATGTAGCGTAAGGTTGAATGCTACGCTAATCATGTAGCTTGATACACACAAATGAACCCCTTTTGGTTCCCATCCTCCTCTTCCACAGTTGGCTTGAAGTTTACAGACTGAGTTATTCAGTGCAGGTCGAGTTAGCATTCAAGCTAGGTTGATGTGACAACCTGATGTGTGTCATCCCGCAGTGCATGCTGGGAACTGGGGTCCATTCTCATTTATTGACAGCTTACTCTTCTGGGTATGCGACTCTGTTGGTCAATTCTCTAGGCTCTTGTGATGGTTCATTCTGCAGTAGGGGCCAGGGGAGGGGCTTAGAGGAAAATACAGGAAATAGAAACCACCTTCTTTATATCATAGAACAAGTTCACATTTAAGCATTTTTATATTATTTTAGTGTTTAAACTACGGACCCCACCTTCAAGACACAGCTTTGTCCCTGGTCTTATTGGTGCAATGCCTCATTGAGATGATAGTCAGTAAATGTTCATGTCCTATTAGAGCAGATAAAAAACATCCATATCTCTCAGCATTCAAAGACGGGGTCTCCAAAACGTCTCCAAATGTTTGCAAGTGTTTCCTTGGGAGGAAATTTTCAGGGTGATCAGAATAGCCTGGAATGCCTCTATCCTTAGCTTCTGTCAAAAGGTCACGAAGTGGAAAAATGCGGGGGAAAGAGGAATTTGAGACTAATGAAGACATAATGAAGAAACACAGTAATCAGCTGTAGTTTATCTGTAGTTTAGGACACTCTGATGTGTTCTAATAGTTTTCAGTTTTTTAAATTTTCATCCAAATTATCTTGACCCAATTCAGCCACTAAAGATTTTTAAACTTGTCTCAATTTTGTCTCCAGCTTCTCCCAACATTGTCTCACTTTCCCGATCTTTGACTCAGATCGTAGCTGTGACTCTGTGTCTGTTTGGAGGATATTATTGCTTTAAATTCTAGTTTGTTTTAGTTTGAAACTCCGGACAGAAAATCTGGAACTCTGGATGGTTTTTGAGACGTTTTTGAAACTCCGGCCCAGTGAGACATTAACCTCTCGCTGTCCAACTTATGTTTGGTTTAGTTTGATTGTTTTTTTCTCTCCTCCATCCTAGATTTTTCCAGATGAAGGACACAACATGTTCTCCACCCAGAACCAACGCTTCCTGCTCAACTCTGTGCTGAACTTTTTCCGGCGCTGCTTTGAGTGGGAACAAGTCGACACTAAGGAAACGTCTAAAGAAGACGATTAAATCAGACGTCCTTCAGAAATGACATTCCTTGTTCTGATGTTGGTGATTTCCTGAGGATGGTGACTCAAACCCTCCAGAATCTTGGGGATCCCTCACAGATCTGATCAGCTCTGCAGCAGGAGGTTATTTCAACATGAGAAGCAGAGATCCCAAAGGCAGGGAGTCCAGGATGAGTGCTCCTGTACCAAACTTTGTCCAAACGGAGCGGATTTTATCTTCTGGTTTTATTTAATCTAGGAAAGTTTCCTGTAAATAAAACTAATTTCTTTCTACATTTAAACAAACTAAGATTTTAGAATTTCACAACTTTAAAAAATATTTATCTTTCTAGTTTCACTTCTTCACATCCAGATTTGGCGTTTTCAATTTGACGGTGAGGTCAGAATAGAACCCACAGCTTGTTTGTTTGTTTGTTTATTAAATTGAATTAACTTGTTATTTTACATTAAGACTAGTGTGGTCTAACAGGAATGCTGATGGAATTCTAGTTCTGTGTACATACACTAACTTCCTTCTGGAGGACTTTAGCTCCGCCCCTTTTTCCACATGCACGCATTTGTTTTTTATGTCAGACTGAAAACTGTTGTAACCGTGTACATATTCCCAGAAACACTTCCTGCTGGTGCCTTTAATCCTAGTAACATCTTTAGATTATCTCAGACTATCTCAGCATCAATAACAGCCATAAAATAATCCACCCGTTAGAGCTGCTGCTTATTCTTTGTTTCTTTTTTGCATTTGTGTAAAATATGAACTTGTTTTAATTAATGAACGACATATTATGTTATTTAAAATAATCTGTAATAATCTGATGACTGGTTAAACCAGCTAGAGTCTCTGAGCTGCACTTAATCCCACAATGTGATAAATGGCTGACATGAAAGAACTTGGAGTTGAAATCATCTGTGGAACCTGGAACCAGACTCTGATGGTATTGAAGATTTACTTGGGTCCATAATCTGGGTTAAGATGCTGTAATATTGGTAAAAATGTCCTCAGTAACATCTGGATTTGTACAAATCAATAAATTATTAAATGGATCCTATTTGAATTTGTTTAGATTTTTGAACATGTTGAAAGATTCAAAAGAACAAGGATGAATTTGTGTTTTAAATCCAGTTTATGAGCTACACACAAACAGGAAGTGTTAATACCAGAAACACCTTTATCCCACAACTTTTATTTCCTGTTTCTAGTTTGTTTTGTTTCCGGGGAGGTTTTCTGTATTTTTGTTGTTAAAATATAACATTTCAATCAAGAACTGTATGTTTTATAGTTACTGGTATGTTTAAAAATAAGCACAACAGTGAAAATAAATAAACAAAAAATCTCTTTATTTTAGTGGTGCTATGATTAAATTTAGGGGTGCTTCTGCCCCCCCAAAACAGGCTAAAAAATTCTCATGAAGCGATCCCGTTTGGTTCTGGTCTTCCTGCACCTGAGTGAAGTTAGCTGGATCTTGGATATTCGACAGACATTCACTCCGCGGTCAGCGATGGTCTTCAAGCCGTGTGCAAGTGCTGCAGACGGCGGTTAGCTGTGTTCCGACGACTCGGTGGTTCACTTAGGGACCATCAACAAATGTATGGTCGTTTGAAAACAAGTACTAAAGTAATCAAAAGCATCCAGATTACTTTATTAAATTACTCTAAATCAACTGTCAATGGTCTAACTAAACTACATGCACAAACCTAAATTTACTTACACATTTGATCAAATCTGATTTTTTTTTTGTCATTTTTTAATCAAAAGTTCAGTTATTTCCTGTTATTTGCTCTAAATACAAAATAAATAAAACGTTGCCAGTCATTCCTAAACTAGACCAATGAGAGACAGACTCTTTTTTTATTTTATTTTTTTATTTTTAAGATCTGGTGTTTTTATTAGGATTTGTATCAAAAGTGACGTTTTTTCTTTCGATAGCTTCTACAAGTAAATTGAATGAAATCCTCAAAACCATTTCTCAATTGTGTTACTGAGCTAGGCCAACGAGACACAGCAGTTTTTTTTACAGTGTTCATACATTCTGATATTTTTGTTAATTTTATCAGAAACTTCCAGGTTGAGTGACCTAATCCAATGAGAAACAGCAATTGTTCACATTTTTTCATTTAATTAAATATTCAGTTGAATGAATGAATGTCCTGAGGATTAAGCCTCTGCCTTTTGCAGATGATGATCTTGTCCTGTTGGCTCCATCAGACCGTGATCTCCAGCTCTCTCTGGATCGGTTTGCTGCCGAATGTGAAGCGGCTGGAATGAGAATCAGCTCTTCTAAATCTGAGGTCGTTCTCTTGATACAGAAAAGGGTAGAATGCCTTCTCCAGGTCAGCAGCGAAGTCCTGCCTGTATCTCTGGGTCTTATTCATGAGTGAGGGAAAGATTGAGCATAAAAGGTCAATAGGCGAACTGGCACTGTGTCTACAGTGATGCGGGCGTTGTGGTCTATCGTGGTAAAGAGAGAGGTGAGACAGAAGTTAAAGCTCTCAGTTTACCACTCAGCTGTGGTCACGAGCTCTGGGTCACCGATACAAGCGGCTGAAACGAGTTTTCTCCACAAGGTGTCTGGGCTCTCCCATAGAGATAAGGTGAGAAGCTCGCTCATCCAGGAGGGGCTCGGAGCAGATCCGCTGCTCCTCCATATCAAGAGGAGCCAGTTGCATTCCGCCGACGTTCCGGGTTGAGTGGGTGCACTTTGCCAACTTCCAGGGAGGTTCGTTACCGGAACACAAGATGAACAGCTCTCTTATGGGACTTGACTCTCATCGCTGAAAAGATTTGATTCGTTCGTGAACATCTCATCACTATTTACAACTTTCTCGCTCCATCTGTGAATGATAAAGAACCTTGTGGCAACACCCCAGGGAGCCCCACTTTAGTTTGTGGGCTCTGACTTTTATCACACAGACAAACAAGTACAGAGGAGACAAATCTTTACTTTTTGTTGCATTGTAACCCGACACAAAATTGGGTTTTAGCAGTTGCATTGTTTTGGATTGCTTCACAACAACACAAAGCTTCTTCTCACAGTGGCCAAAAGCATTTTTGTTTTTCTTCGCTACAACGCAAAGCATGCTTCACACCACTAAATCATTTTGGTTTGGTTTGACTGAAAAAGAAATTTTTTTCTCTGTAACAACAAACAGGATTCAGCAGAACTCCCTCGGCTGTTTGGCTCACTCACTCGATGGTCTCGCAGTCGTTCTCGTTTCTTTGCGTGATTGTCTCCATCTTCTCTCCAGTAATCACATGCGAGAATGCCATTGGTTTTCTGGATCTGTTCGCTCTCCACCAGGTTCAACAGAACTCAGTCCTGATAGTAGCAGATGAAGAGCTAAGGCTGATCCCACTTCTCCTTATGGAATATGACTGCTGTAAATCCCTTCATCGGCATCTTGGGTGACTCCTCCTTGAACCGTCACCTTATCGTGGTGGAGGAGTTTGAGTGCCCTAATGATCCTAGGAGCTATGTTGTCTGGGGCACTTAGTGCCCCTGGTAGGGTCTCCCATGACAAATTGGTCTTAGGTGAAGGGTGAGACAAAGAACGGTTCGAAGGATCTTTCATGGCGGTTAAAACAAAGAGTCGAAGTACCCGGCCCGGAGGGTTACCGGGGTCCCACCCTGGAGCCAGGCCTGGGGTTGGGGCCCGTGAGCGAGCGCCTGGTGGCCAGGCTTTCGCCCATGGGGCCCAGCCGGGCCCAGCCCGAACCGGATACATGGGCTCGTCCAACTGTGGACCCACCACCCGCAGGAGGAACATGAAGGGTCCGGTGCAATGCGAATCGGGTGGCAGACCAAGGCGGGAGCCTTGGCGGTCCAATCCCCGGACAAGAAAACTAGTTTTTGGGATATGGAACGTCACCTCGCTGGCGGGGAAGGAGCCGGAGCTTGTGGCAGAGGTTGAGCGGTACCGGCTAGATATAGTCGGACTCACCTCGACACATTGCATTGGCTCTGGAACCCGAGACCTGGAGAGGGGTTGGACACTCTACTTTGCTGGAGTTGCTCCGGGTGAGAGGCGGAGGGCTGGGGTTGGCTTTTTGTTAGCCCCGAGACTCTCTGCCTGTGTGTTGGGGTTTACCCCGGGGGACAAGAGGGTAGCTTCCTTGCGCCTTCGGGTCGGGGAACGGGTCCTGACTGTTGTTTGTGCTTATGGGCCAAATATCATTTCAGAGTACCCACCCTTTTTGGAGTCCCTGGGACGAGTGCTAGATAGTGCTCCATCAGGGGACTCCATTGTCCTGCTGGGGGACTTCAATGCTCACGTGGGTAATGACAGCTTGACCTGGAGGGGTGTGATTGGGAGGAACGGCCCAACTAATCTGAACTCGAGCGGTGTTTTGTTATTGGACTTCTGTGCAAGCCGCAGTTTGGCCATAACGAACACCATGTTCGAACATAAGGATGCCCACCGGTACACTTGGTACCAGGGCAGCCTAGGTCACAGGTCGATGATAGATTTTGTAGTCGTATCATCTGACCTGCGGCCGTATGTTTTGGACACCCGAGTGAAGAGAGGGGCGGAGCTGTCAACTGATCACCACCTGGTGGTGAGTTGGATCAGATGGCAAGGGAACATGCCCCGTAGACCTGGCAGACCCAAACGCATAGTGAGGGTCTGCTGGGAACGCCTGGCAGAAGAACCTGTCAAGACGGTCTTCAACTCCCACCTCCGGCAGAGCTTTGACCACGTCCCGAGAGCAGTGGGGGACATTGAGTCCGAGTGGGCCTTGTTCCACTCTGCGATTGTCGAGGCGGCTGTTGCTAGCTGTGGTCGTAAGGTGGCCGGTGCCAGTCGTGGTGGCAACCCCCGTACCCGCTGGTGGACACCAGAGGTTCGGGGAGCCGTCAGGCTGAAGAAGGAGGCCTACAGGGCGTGGCTGGTCTGTGGGTCTCCGGAGGCAGCAGACAGGTACCGGATAGCCAAGCGGGGTGCAGCAGTGGCAGTTGCCGAGGCAAAATCTCGGGCGTGGGAGGAGTTTGGTGAGGCCATGGAGAAAGACTATCGATCGGCTCCAAAGAGGTTCTGGCAAACTGTCCGACGCCTCAGGAGAGGAAGGAAGCAACTCGCTCACACTGTTTACAGTGGGGATGGGGAGCTGCTGACGTCAACTGAGGCTATAGTCGGACGGTGGAAGGAATACTTTGAGGAGCTCCTCAATCCCACCAATGCGCATTCCGAGGAGGAACCAGAGCTGGGAGGCCTGGGGATGGACTGTCCGATCTCGGGGGCAGAAGTTGCTGAGGTAGTCAAACAACTACACAGCGGCGGAGCCCCGGGGGCGGATGAGGTTCGCCCTGGGTATCTCAAGGCTATGGATGTTGTGGGGCTGTCATGGTTGTCACATCTCTTCAACATTGCGTGGTCATCGGGGGCAGTTCCTAGGGAGTGGCAGACCGGGGTGGTGGTCCCCATCTTTAAGAAGGGTGACCTGAGGGTGTGTTCCAACTATAGGGGGATCACACTCCTCAGCCTCCCTGGAAAGGTCTACTCCAAGGTACTGGAGAGGAGGGTCCGATCGATAGTTGAATCTCAGATAGAGGAGGAGCAATGTGGTTTTCGTCCTGGCCGTGGAACTGTGGACCAGCTCTATACCCTTGCAAGGGTGATGGAGGGGGCATGGGAGTTTGCCCAACCAATCCACAAGTGCTTTGTGGATTTGGAGAAGGCTTATGACCGTGTCCCCAGGGGCACCCTGTGGGGGACGCTCCAGGAGTATGGGGTGGGTGGCTTTCTGTTAAGGGCCATTCAGTCCCTTTACCAGAGGAGCGTGAGTTTGGTCCGCATAGCCGGTAGTAAGTCGGACCTGTTCCCAGTGAGGGTTGGACTCCGCCAGGGCTGCCCTTTGTCACCGGTTCTGTTCATCACTTTTATGGACAGAATTTCTAGACGCAGCCGTGGTGTGGAGTGTGTCGAGTTTGGTGGCAGGAGAATCTCGTCTCTGCTTTTTGCGGATGATGTGGTCCTCCTAGCTTCATCCAGCTCTGACCTTCAGCTCTTGCTGGGTAGGTTCGCGGCCGAATGTGAAGCGGCTGGGATGAGGATCAGCACCTCCAAATCTGAGACCATGGTTCTCGACCGGAAAAGGGTGGCTTGCCACCTCCGGGTCGGGGGAGAGGTCCTACCTCAAGTGGAGGAGTTTCAGTATCTCGGGGTCTTGTTCACGAGTGAGGGTAGGAGGGATCGGGAGATCGACAGGCGGATCGGTTCGGCGTCTGCAGTGATGCGGACGCTGAGCCGATCTGTCGTGGGGAAGAGGGAGCTGAGCCAGAAAGCCAGGCTCTCGATTTACCGGTCGATCTACGTCCCAATCCTCACCTATGGTCATGAGCTTTGGGTAATGACCGAAAGAACGAGATCGCGGATACAAGCGGCCGAAATGAGTTTCCTCCGTAGGGTGGCCGGGCTCAGCCTTAGAGATAGGGTGAGGAGCTCGGACATTCGGGAGGGACTCGGAGTAGAACCGCTGCTCCTCCGGATCGAAAGGAGCCAGTTGAGGTGGTTTGGGCATCTGGTCAGGATGCCTCCTGGACGCCTCCCCGGGGAGGTGTTTCGGGCATGTCCTGCCGGCAGAAGGCCCCCGGGTCGACCCAGGACACGTTGGAGAGGTTACATCTCCAATCTGGTCCGGGAACGCCTTGGGGTCCTGCCGGAGGAGCTGGTGGACAAGGCCGGGGAGAGGA